TCTCCCCCTGCTCATGCTCTCTCTCTCTCTGTATCTCTGTGTCTCAAATGAATAAAATCTTTAGAAAAAAAAAGAAAGAAAGAAAATGGAATTTGAGAAAAGTTGAATAGTGATGAGTATGGGAAAGTTTACAGGTTTAAAATGTTTTTTCTTGAGTTAAACACAATGGTACTTTAAAGAACTTAAGCCTGGATTGTCCACCTTAAATAATGATTTGTCAGTTATCCTTGCAATGTAATTTTATTGGAGACCAGTATTTCTTTTAGCAGTATGCTTTTGGACTCCTCTCTAATACTGTTCGCCTCAAGAAGTACCAACTAAATTCCACTTTAATGCAGGTAGGCTTAACAGACTGAGTTGAGAAGATAGTAGATCAGAATAGTTTGGATGAAAATGCAAAATGCAGCCAGTTTCACCTGGAGCATAATCATTTACCTAGTGGCTACCCAAACAAGAAACTGTAGGTCCTCTGGGTTCTGCCTTAAAAAGTAAGACTCATTATTCATTTGACAAAACAGTGATGTCTCAGAAACACCAAGAATTATGTGGTGCTCAGAAAAAAAGAAAAAAGAAAGGAAAAAAAATTCCCTTCCTACTAAGTTTCTTAAATTCAACACTTTGTAGGAATGCATTTTTTAGTATAAGGCCTAGTCCTCAGTTGAGATGAGTATACTAACACTTTAGTGTTCATGTTTAAAGGGTGTTGAGTTTTCAAACATGAACCTCCTAGAGAGTATTACCCTCACATACTCTGACAGTTGATCAGGGCATATCTTTATCTGACCAAAGCAGAAACCAACATGCACAGCAGTTCAGAGAATGAATGACTCTTTCCCTGAGATCTATCTAGTTGTGACAGGTTGGGGGTGATGGGTAGGGGAAGGTGTGCTAGACTGGGCACCATGAGAAGGAAAAAGAGATGTGGAAATTTTTAAAGCAGGAGCTGGGGTAAGGGACCACAAACCAGGCCTGGTGTTAAATTTCTAATGATCAGAAGGCCTAGTAGGAATTCAAACTCAAAGAATTATTAAAATAAGAAATGAGAGAAAACTAAGCAATTTCATGAATTTACTTAATGAAAATAGGCATAAATAATAGATATTTAAATCTTTTCACAGAGAAAGACCATCAAACTCCAGCCGGTCTGCAGAAACGATTGCTGTTGGTGTAGTTTGGGTTTATGGCCAGTAATGAATATACTGATAAAGTCTACTGACGCTTTTTTAAAGATTTTATTTGACAGAGAGCAAGAGAGCACAAGCAGGGGAACAGCAGAGGGAGAGGGAGAAACAGGTTTCCTGCTGAGCAGGGAGCCAGATGCAGGGCTGGATCCCAGGACTCTGGGATCATGACCTGAGCTGAAGGCAGATGCTTAATGGACTGAGCCATCCAGGCGCCCCCACTGATACATTATTATTCATTCTTTCATCTTTTCACCACCTTGAAGTTGGGGCATTAGAGAATAGTGACAAGCATTTCATTTTTCTTGGTGAAATTCAGAAGTACTAGCTTATTTTAGAGAAAAGGTTTGGATACGTGGATCTTATTATATTCCACCTTTCTTTTTTCTTCATGAATATAAAGGGACCCAATGATTCATTTTTCAACAAATACTTATTGGACATCTATTATGAACCAAGCACTGTTCTAGGTGCTGCGGACTCAGACAAAAAAGGATTTACATTATAGCAGGGTAGACAGACAATATTAAAATCCAATTTATAATATCATGGCAGGTACTGATAAACACTTTGAAGAAAAATAAAGTAGGGTAAGAGGGTGGTGGTGAAGTTCCCATTTAAGGAGAGGCAATGGTGTGTTGGTGACAGCTCACACCACTTTCATCAGAGCTGACCATTACATTTTTAGGAATTTTGCTAGTCAGATATTAAACAACCATTTTTATAAATTAAATGATATAACCTAATGAGTAAACATTATAATAAAAGCAAAGGTAATAAATATGCGAAACGTGTCACCATTTATATTTATTTTTCTACTTGTTACTACCATCTCTGCTTTTTACTTACATCTATTATATCTGCATGTTGGAAATTTCACGTAACGGTGTACTGCGCATGTCTTCCCGACTCCATGTTGAATGAGGTCACATTGATAGCTTGCAATCGGCCATGGTGGTTGTATTTACACCATAGAAATTGGCAAATAATGCAAACCAGGTTTTTGTTTTTGTTTTTGTTTTATTTTATTCCAGAGAGCTCATTAAACATTTACCAGCACTTTCTAGAGAAGAGTCTTTCCGATGAGGAGATACTTGAGCAGAGGCCCAAAGTAGATGTGAGCATTGTCATCAGGATATCTGGGGAAGAACAATACAAACACAGGCCTCAGACCAGCCTCTGCTTGACATGGTTGAGGATCAGCCCAGAGAACAGAATGGCTGTTGATTGCAGTCAGTGAAAGGCCGCAGGAAATCAGGACAAGGGACAGATTCAATAGAACTTTGAAGCCCATGGTAAAAGACATTTTTTTTATAAGTACCTTGTGAAGCCACGGAAGGATTGAAAACAGGAGAGGGTCATGATCTGATCTCTATCACAAAGCATCACTCTATTGCACGGAGGAAAATAGATTGTTCCATCAAGTGATTTGTTCTAAATTTCAACTGAGTGGTATCTAAGAATTACCCCTTGCTTGTTGGAAATGTACCAGAAACTCTGACATGTGTGATCATCCTGACAGTGAATCACAGACAACACAGGGTTGCCTATCCACTTCTCTTCTCCTTCCTGGGCACATGGGTGGTCTACACTTCCCAACATTCCTGCAATTACGTGGGTTCATGTGATGAGTTTTAGCTAATGAAATGTGAGTGGGAGTGACATGGGCCACGACCAGGCAGAGGCATTTAAAAGCCACTGGGGGACCTCTATACTTTCCTCTTGTCTTCCATGGCGACTGCAGAGGCCACATATTAAGATGGAAGAACCACAGATAAAAGCCTCCTGGTCCCCGAGTGACTGTGTGGAGTATACCAGCCACATACTGACCCTGGACATGTAACACGAGCAAGAAAAAAAAAAAAAACACAAAAAAACTTCGTTTCACTAAGTACTGAGATTCAGGATTAATTTCTTACTTCAGCTTGACCTAGCCTATCGTGACTAATGCAGAATTTCAAGCTAGCAGTATTTTCATAACAATAGCTAACATTTATTGAGTGCTTTTCCTAGGCGGGGCCCTAAACCAAGCATTTTACACATATTTCCTCATTTAAGGCCCACATCACCCCAGTGAGGTGGACACTATTATTGCTTCATTTTAGAAATGAGGAATGAGGCCAAGAGGGGCTAAGTGGCTTCTCCAGGGCCCCCCACAGAACAAAGGGTAGAAGCAAGATCCAGTCCTGACTCTAGTACCTTCCCTTTTCCTAATCAAGAAAGAACACACAGCCTCCTGACTTCATTCATTCCTTTGTCTGTTTATCAGGCACTTACAGTGGTGGGCTCTTGGTAGGCAAAGATAAATAAAACACCTCAAGGAGCTCACACAGTCAGGTGAGGGAGAGCTTGTGGAGAGTCGATTATAATGAAATGAATTTACAGGAAATGCAGCAGACAGAGGAACTGGACAGAGACTCCGGTCAGCAAAAGCCAGATTGTAGGAAATCCAACAGGACAGATAACCTGGTTTCTTCAACAAATAAATTGCAAGGAAGTTGAGGCAGAACCTACAGATTAAGAGAGATACAAAAGACTTATCAACCAATGGTAAGATATTCCGGCTCCTGGTTCAAGCAAACTGTGAACAAACAAACAAACAAAAAATGAAGACTCTTACTAGATATTTGAAAATTTGAACACTAAGTGGACATTTAATGATATTAAGAAATTTTTAACTTTAAAAAAGTTTGGATGAGATAATGGTTTTGAAATTATTTTGAATGTGTCCTTACCTTTCAGAGATATATGCTAAAATGTTTCTAGATGAAAGGACATGATGTCTGGAAACTTCTTCAACATACACAGGAGGCAGAAGTGGACAGACGAGACAAGACTGGCCAAAGATGATCATTGTTGGCCTGGGTGATAGTTCCATGGGGATCGATTTTAGTAAATATTCAGAACTTCCCAAAATAAAAAGTTTTAGAATAACTATTCCTGGGCTGGAAACAAAGGAACTGGTAGAATCGCTGACAAGGTGTTTGGGGAAGTTGGGAAACCTTCCAAGGAAAATGGGACCTCCGTGTGAGAAACAGTTCTTAAGCAGCAAAGGAGCACGCACAAACAAATGACATTATTTTGAGCATCACCCAACATTTTCGACATCAGAGATGGTTAATATTTGTTTTTCAACCACAGCTGGCTGCTATCACATGGAAACAGGTTACCAGAATTCATGAAGCTTCCTTCTGTGGGAATGCATAGAAATGGGCTGAGAGAACAGGAGACTGAACACTGGATTAGAAAGTCAGGAGACCAGGCAGGAGAAGCCTGGCTCTGTCACTGACCAGCTGTGTGTCTTGGAGAAGGACTCTTACATTTTGTGTCGCCTGTTCCCTCGTCTGCAAAACAAAGAACGCTTCCTGGTCCCATTATTCTACAAAGGCTTCCACAGACATGAGATGTGATTTGGGGTCATATGTGGGAATTAGCAGCTTCAGGTCACTATAGCATCATTATCAGAACCAGAGAGACACCCAGGCACGCATCTTCATTACAAGAGACCCTGGGAAAGTTCCCCGCACAGAGAGACACCACCCCCCATGCAACCTTGGACTGTTTTCTACTTCACATGGGAAGCAGATGGGAGTATTGCCGTGAGAGTCTTGTTCGTTGTCTTCAGCACAGTACCCCAGACCTTGGTGCCCTTTGCAGGTGAAGGGAGGAGAATTTACTTACAATTTGGCAACTTCCTTGTTAAAAATTCCTCTCAGCTTAAAAATCCTATTGCTTTCTTTCTTTGAAGGTTGAATATTGAGAAAACTGCCCCCTTGGTGTCCCAAATAGAGGTTAAAATAGCACTGACTGAATCATACGATGGACCCGTAATTCTGTGCTGAGGAAAATAATAAGTGTCAATGAATCCCCTGACCACCCCGCTCCCCGCACCTTCTGAACTGCAACAGAGACTCATCTGCAGTCATTATCATGGAGGAAGTGATAGGACCTGGGGTCCAGAACCCCGCCACCTTCCCATCCCATCCACCCCTACCTGGCAGGAGCTGGAAGCCACACAGACTGGTCTGGAAGAGTTCTGGCATGTGAGAGGGAAACAAAGGGCAAGTGAGACCTGCCTGGTCTCTGACTTTCTGGGTCCTGCAATTTCTGTCCTAGTATGATTGCAAAGAAAGTTGGTCTGGTTGACAGAACGAGACAGCCCCAGGTGGGGCTGATCTGCAGACAACCTGACAGAACAATTCCCTCACTCCCAAAATTCCCTTGAATCCTTTGTAATCAGAACGGCTCCCTCACCCCCCAAACTCCCTTGAATCCTTTGGAATCAATCCCTCTCCCCATCCCCAGGTCTTGGGACCCACTGATCTGTTGTCTTTCCCTATAGTTTTACCTATTGTAAAATGTCATATATATGAAATGGTCCAATATTTGGGGTGTAGGGGGGTGGGGGGGAAACTCTAGCTTCTTTCACTCAATCTAATGTCTGTAAGATTTATCAATGATGTGTAAAACAATCATTTTCATTGCTATATGAATATACCATAATTTATGTACATCATTGTATGAACATACCACAGTATTAGCCATTGTATTGTTGATGGACATAAAGTCGTTTCCAATTTGGGGCTATTATAGACGATGCTGCTAGAAATATTCTTGCACACACCCTTTTATGCTCACTGCATGCATTTTCTTTATGGTTTAGCGATCCCAATGTCATGAAGACATACTCCTACCTAGCTCCTAGAATTTTCATTCTATCTTTCACACTTGATCTACAATTGACCTGGAATGCTTATTTGTATGTGATATGAGGTGGGGGCTCAGGTTTCTTTTCCCTTTTTGCTACTTGGATATCCAGTTGACCCACCACCATTAATCCAAAAAAAAGTCCTTTCACCCTGCTCTACAGTGTCTCCTCTGAAATAAGCTGTCCATACACCTATAATTGTTTCCAGGATCTCCATTCTATTCCACCGTCTATTTATCTTAATCCTCCCACTTTGTTCTTTTTCAAGATTTTTCTCAGTTATTCATGACCCTCAGGATTTCTACATAGAGTGGCTGGGTTGCTCAGTTGTTAAGCTTCTGCCTTGGGCTCAGGTCATGATCCCAGGGTCTTGGGATCGAGCCCCGCATCGGGCTCCCTGCTCAATGGGAAGCCTGCTTCTCCCTCTCCCACTCCCCCTGCTTGTGTTCCTTCTCTTGCGGTGTCTCTCTCTGTCAAATAAACAAATAAAATTTAAAAAATAATTTCTACATAATTTTCAGGCTCCTACTTGAGTTTACTCATCATTGGCCCCAGCACTGACAAGGTGCCTGGCACAATGAATAGCTGTTGTGTGGGTGGATGTGACCTGGGACCTTTCAGAGATGATGGTAAGGACTTTCTCAGCAACAGCCTCCCCACCTCCACTACCCCGACCCGCCTCCGGCCCCCCGCTCCCCTGCCCCGGCCCCTTCCCCCTCCCCCTCCACTGACCCAGGCCTCCGTCCCCCTAGAGGCGCTCGGGTAAACTGCAAGGAGGCGGAGCTCGTCGCTTTCCTCCGGGACGCGGCCTTCCGCGTGGCCGGTTCTCCCCGCCCCCACCTCTCCATGCCCCGCCCCCGCCTCTCCCTTCCCGGCCGGAAGAGCAGTCCCCGGGCCTCCCCAGCTTGGCTGCCGGCAGCGCGAGGATGGCAGCGGCGGCGACCGCGGCTCCGGGAGCCCCAGGCATGGACACCCGGCTGGACCAGGAGACGGCGCGGTGGCTGCGATGGGACGCAGTGGGTGAGGGGCGCCAGGGGGTGGGAGCGTCCGGGGGAGGCGTGGGATCCTCTGCACCCCGCAGGCGCCCCCCTGCCTTTCCTGCGGGGAGTGCGGGTGCCTGCGCTTCTTTCCCTCCCGCCGCTCGCAGCCGGCTGCTGTACAGTACTTACGAATATGCAGATTACGAGCTGCTGGATGGGGAAACGCGAGTCGCCCCCGCGAGGCCATAGCTCGCCCCCTTAGCAGCCGGCTCCCGCTGTGGGGAAGTGGGACCCACCCGGGCAATTTGATGCCAGGCGCGGTTTCAGCGCATCCACACAGAGGAAGTAGAGTCACAAGCTGTATTACGGATCCAAGAGTGGGGAGTGGGTGCAGAGAGCCGGGACAAGGTCAGCCCTCCGTCCCTGGTCACCGGGGAGCCGCAGAGAGAGGCGGGTAGCAAGCACCCGGTGTAAGGTGGTTGGGGGGCGGTCGCTAACTTTTTCTCCGGGCTGAACTCTTAAGTGGTTATTTAAAAGGTGCCCCGGGGAAAGCAAAGCGAGAGCTTAGGGCGGGAATCCCTCTGGATGTGAGCAGGGTTGTAAGGTTGTAAAGTGGCTCGGGAGCAACTCAGAAAAACAAAGTTGTTTTTCTCATCAAACTCGGGAAGGCGGCGGCGGAGGGAGCAGGGGTGGCCAGTCCTCCTTGCTTTTGGCCCTGCCTGTGGCAGATCCGAAGTTTGACCGGGAAAAGGTGTCCCGGGACAAAACCAGCATCTGGCCGTCTGGGGCTGCAAGTGGGGGAGTGGGAGAGCGAGCCGGAGCTGATCTCAACTTGGCCGGGCCCAAGGGTCATGTCCAGTCGGGGCGTGCGCGCGTTGGTGTCACTCAGACCGCTGGCTCAGCCCTCCTTCCGCAATCTGCGGTGCGTCCCCAGAGACCCAGAATCCTTCCGTCCATCCTATGCCTTTTGCTCCTGGGAACTTTGCAGAGCAGTGTTCCCATCCACCTCTCCCAGGTGCTCGGTTGTGAACACGGGTCCTCCTGATGGGGCCCGCCTGGCTTCAGGCATCTTCCTCCCGTCTCTGGCTTTGCTGGAAAGATAGAAGGGATTCCTTCAACACAGCACCGCTAGCTTTTCCCCTCTTCACTCTCTTAGGTGCCAGAGCAGAGAGAATCAGGGACCCAACTCCAGACAGCACCCCCTCTCTTGTCTGACTCTCCTACTTGCTCCTTGGGCATGCACTTTGTTTTCCCGAATGTTCCTTGGCCTCCTCTGCTGAATTTGTTTCTTGTGCTGTTATTCCTGTTTTGGGTCTGAACTTAAATGTGTTTTCTGTAGACAGGCCTTCCCTGACAACCAGTGGTAAATTATGTCTCCCTAATACTATCTCTAGATTGGTCAAAAAACAAAACAAAACCGAACAGAACAGAACAAAACCTTGTTTGTAGGTGTATTTGTTTAATGTCTGGCCCCAGGGCTGACTTGAAAGGCAGGGCTCCTGTTCCAGGAGGGCCCAGCACTTGGTTTAATCCTTGGCTGTCCTGTCTTGAAATTCTTAAAACTTGTCAAACAAGGAGTCCCACGCTGTCATTTTGCCCTGGGCCCCGACAAGTTAAAACAGCAGTTCCTGTCCACTTGCTCATTAATTTCCATGGTCACTAGGGCCTGACATGGTGCATGACTCATACTTGCAGTGTGAAGGGAAGGGAGTTGCAAGCTCTGTTGGCTGGGGCCAGGTCTTCCTCTTCACTTCTGGCGCCTGAATGAGAAATGAGAGCACATCCCCCACAGGATGCTATTGGCAACTTCTTGGGTGGTTTTTCTTTTCCTGGAAAGACAGTCTTGTAATTCTTTAGAGATGGAAAATGTTTCCATTTCTGATAATTTAGTAACTTGAGGTGGGTAGAATCCTTTTTTTTTTTTTTAGAGGAGGGGAGGGGCAGAGGGAGAGGGAGAGAGAGAATCTTAAGCAGGCTCCACGCTCAACATGGAGCCCAATGTGGGGCTCGACCTCACAACCCTGAGATCCTGACCTGAGCTGAAATCAAGAGTCAGGCACTTAACCGACTGAGCCACACAGGGGCCCCTAGAATCCTTTTAAAGTCATAATTGATAATGTGTTTTTCAATGAGACTTTCCCTTTGAAGAAATAAAAACCTAATTTCCACAAAATGTTGTATCTGTATATGGAGAGAGAGTACCTCCCTGGGTAGAGATGAAAGGATATTATCCTTTTTATTTTTTTTAAGATTTTATTTATTTATTTTTAGAGAGAGATAGAGAGAGAGCACAAGCTGGGGGAGAGACAGAATCCCAAGCAGACTCCGCACTGAACACAGAGCCTGTTTCGGGACCCAGTCCCAGGACCCCGAGAGATCGTGAACCGAGTGGAAATCAAGTGAGACGTTCAACTGACTGAACCACCCAGGCACCCCTCCTTTGTATTGTTAATTTCTACCACTTCTCTTGTTCTTTCCTCTCTTTCTTCCTCAGTTTGAGACAGGCGCCAAGTGGGGAACATCCTGCCAAGCAAAAGCATTGCAGTGGTCTGGTCTGATTTCCCCCAGGGCCGCAAGGCAGGTGCCCTCTGCATTCCCACTCTGCCTTCTCCCCACCTTTTCATCCCTGGCGTCTCTGCTGTCAGCTTTGGTTACTCTCCTGGTTGACTCTGATCTCTGCCGCCGTCCTGACTTTGCAGTTCTAATCTCTCTGTCTCCTTTGGTTTCTCTCAGGCTATTTGGTCTTTAATGGCTATCAAAGGCCAGTTGGCATTTTTCCACATCTACCCCACGTACAGGAAACTCACTAGATATTGGGTGTGGCCTTGAAGTCTGTGTTTCCTCTTTCACTCAGCAAATATTTATTAAACCTCTTTTGTGTTCCAGATCTAAACCCTTCCTTGAAGGCACCTGCTCTGTGATCAGTGGTTATTGCTTTTAACCCAAAAGGTGGGGTTTTACCTGACCCCAAGGTGGGACAATCTGGAAATGTGGGATTACTTCCAGAAAGCCAATGTTTTATTGCAATAGCATTTCAAAGTTTAATTACGGGTCATATCTTGGCTGCATGTTCAGTAGTTGGATGATGACTATAAGAAAAAGTGCTTACTCTCTGGTTCCTCTGAACTCTTAATTTAAAAGCCTGATGTGGCATTAATGTGATTGTCATTTTCCTCCATTCTTAACATTTTCTGCAACTCTTGTACAAAGAAAATCAGGCAATGTAAAATGAACTTAAATGATTCATAGGAGTGGCTATTTGAAACAGCTAATGTAATAGAGAAAGCACTAGATTAATGTTTAAGCAAGTCACTTAATCTCTGAGGCTTCTGCTCTGTATTGGGGTTTTTGTTATTTGTCTGCTTCTTGTGGTCATTGCAAGTTTCACATTTGACCAGGTATGTGAAAGAATTGTACAAATTAGAAGACACTACAACAGTAAGGTTTTGATTTAAACTGTATAATCTCTTAACTCTGTGGGAAAATTTGAAGATACTAGGGAAGAAAATGAACATTTGATTACAACTAAGTGCCAGGCAGAGAAAGGTGTTTTACATTAATTTAATGCAAACCACCTCAGAACCACCTTGTAAAGGAGGTTCTAGACTGTTCCCATTTTACGGATGAAGAAACTGAGAATTCAAGAAGCAAAATAGCCGGGGCACCTGGGTGGCTCAGTCGTTAAGCGTCTGCCTTCAGCTCAGGTCACCATCCCAGGGTCCTGGGATTGAGCCCCGCATCGGGCTCCCTGCTCAATGGGAAGCCTGCTTCTCCCTCTCCCACTCCCCCTGCTTGTGTTCCCTCTCTCACTGTGACTCCCTCTGTCAAATAAACAAATAAAATCTTAAAAAAAGAAGAAGCAAAATAATCTACCCAAGTGCATCTAGTTGTTAGGTGACGGTATGGCTGGCATTCCATTCTGGATGTTAGACCCCAGAACCTAGGTGTTCATTCCATTTCTCCAAAAGCACTTGCCTTGGTGGGAAAGAAAATAACACATTATAAAGGAGAAAACTACTTCCTTCTAGTCACAACACTTCTGACACCAAATGTACAAGTTTTCCACACCGAGTTATTTTCTATGGATACCGACTGGGCATCCCACAATTTCACTCAATTCTGACACTCACCACCTGGACCCAGCACAGATCCTGCCCTCAGCTTAGGGGCTCAGCCCCACAAAATTACCCCCACCTCAGATGCCAGTCAAAAGCCCCAGGTTGTCACCTGTGCTTCTGACCAGCCAGTGATACATCAGGGGTACCTGTGGCCCCCTTCTCAGGCTTGATAATTTGCTAGTACAGCTCACTGAGCTCAGGGAAGCATCTTACTTATGATTACCAGTTTTCTTGGAAAGGATACAGCTCAGGAACAGCCAAATGAAAGAACTGCATAGGGCAAGGTGTGTGGGAAGGGGTGCTGAGCTTCCATGCTCTCCCAGCACCCCAAGTGTTCACCAGCTCTGAAGGTCTCTGACACCAGTTGTTGAGGGTTTTGGGGGGAGGTTCTGTTACCCTGGGCAGGATCGAATCTTTGGCCACTGGTGAGGGAACCCAGCCTCCAGCCCTCTAATCACTAGTTGGTTTCCCTGGCAACCAGGCCACTCCCTGGGCATAAACTCGGGTTTGGCGAAAGGGGGTTATTATGAATAATAATAACAAGTTGTTCTTACCCCTACCACCCTGGAAATTACAATGGTTTTAGTTAGAAGCTCTATTCCAGGAACCAGGGACAAAAACAAAATGTATATTTCATATTGTATCACAATATCACAGATTATAATTAAAAAAATTGAATCACCTGAAACTAATGTAATGTGCAATTAAAAAAAAAACAACCTTACCTCATATTTCAGATTTCAACGTCATTGGAAACTGAGAAGCCATATGTATAGGGCTTTTCAAATATATACATCTTCCCCCTATGGGTTAAGTTGTGAGTCTTTTTTTTTGTATTTCAGATGTTTTATTCTGTCATTCAGCTGGCTGTATTGTATATGTTTCTGTTCCGCAGAATCCTTTAACTTTGGAGTCAGCGAAACAACTAATTGCGGATGGTAATAAAGAAGAACTACAGAAATGTTTTGGGGCTCGAATGGAGTTTGGGACAGCTGGCCTTCGAGCTGCTATGGGAACGGGAATTTCTTATATGAATGACTTGACCATCATCCAGACCACACAGGTACCACGTTTTTATATTTCTTGGTTATTCTTAACATGTTCCCAGCGGTAAAGGATAAACTCAGGCATGTTAACAGTTTTAAGCAAAAACCCGTTTGAATCGGGCCGTACCAAACTGGAAGTCATTATGAGCATCCCACTGGCAGGAGCTGGGAGAAGAGGCAGAAGCAGAGCGAGGAAATTAATAGATTGGCTATAGCTCATGCGGTTGCATTTTTTGGGAAAGTCTCTCTGGCTGTTAGTAATTGGCTGCTCTTAGGTTTTAATTTCTTAACCTTCAGGCATTTACGGGCTTGGGTTTGGGTTTGCTTCTATAGGCAACCAAGACATTAAAGCCTCCTCAGTCTAATGGCCTCCTTGTCTAATTAATATAACCCCGGGCTCCTTTTGTATTTGAGGGACCTCTGTTGTTTTAATTATGGCCAGGTCTTATGGGTTTGCCAAGGCCCAGGGAGTCACACATTTACTCCGTACAGTAAGGCTTATGCAATTGGTTAAAGGGTACTTGTTTCAAAATTCATACGCCTGCTTTTCTTTCTGTTTTTCTTTCTTCCTCCCTCTGTCCCTCCGTTTCTTCCTTTCTTTCTACAGAAATTTATTGAATGCCTACCAAGTGCCAGGCTTTGAAGATACAACAATGACTAAAACAGACAGATTCCCTCATGGAACTTTACTCCAGTGCAAATCCACCAGCTAAGCTGACGACTTTTATGGTCTTGTACTTTTGCAATGGTGGTAGCGATGCACGCATTGAGAAGTTTCTCTAACGGCCAGAATAACCAGAAGCTGATTCTGTTTCATGTTAATTGATAGTGTAGGTGGAAATTATTGCTGAGTTCCTTTGCCTTCATTTGTAAATTTTACTGTCAGAGTCTACACCCAACTTTTAGGAATAGAGATGAAACCTTTCTGCCACGGAGTATCTGGAGTTTTGTTTATGAAGGAAATGAAGAATAGATCATTCAGTTTCTTCAACTACTTAGACTTTTTAAAAGTGAAGGCGACTTTAATTCTGAGGGGAAAAAAATGTCTAGAAAATTTGACTAATGATGATTATGTGTACCTTACATGTAGCTCCCAGCAGAAAAGGCAGACTTGGGCACGTTCTAGTGAAACCCTAATAAGAAGTCTTGCCTAAGGATATGGGGTTGCCATGGAAACCCTGGCTCCAGATTCCTGTTCAGCAATACGGCTCCCTGAGATCTTTTTGGAGGGAAGGCTCAGAGTGGAGTGAGCCTGGGAATCCTGTTCTAGTTTATGGATAGCATGGAATTGTGCCACTGGGTAAGGTCACCCCCTGCTCTAGGTGCTGGGGCTATATAACATATCACCCAAAACATAGTGGTTTTAAACAACCACGTTTGTTTTGTTCACAAATCTCTAGGTGGAGTTCAGTGGAGACAGCTCCTCTCTGCAGAACTTGGCACCACCTGAGCCAGCTTAGAAGCTGGAATCACTGAAGGCTCGTTCCCACTCATGTCTGCAGTTATTGCTGACTTTTGGCTGAGGTCTTAGCTGGGGCTGGAGGCCTCTGTGTGGCCTGGGCTTCGTACAGCGTGGCTTGGAGAGCAGCCGGTGAGAGCATCCAGAGAGACTGTGCACAGGTGGCAGCTATGTTGATTTTTATGACCTAGCCTGGAAAGTCACACAAATTCACTTACTTCCATCATATTCTGTTTGTTAGTAGCAACTCAAGGAGGTTGTTCGTGTTCAAGGACAGGGCACATAGACACTCACCTCTCAGTGGAGGGATGTCGGTCCCATTAGAGGGGCACAGGAAATGGGATATACATGTGTATGGCTAACACTGGAAAGTCTAGTTGGTTCCATCTCCTATTAGGCTTAATTGTTAGGGGTTTCTAAGGGATTCTAGATGAACCCAGAGCCTTTTCTCCTGTACTCATCTACATCTAATTTGTAAGTATGATGAAATCTACCCACAGAAAGGTCTTAGGCCCTATCTCATACATCTTCTCCCCTAGGGGAATTGGCCTCTTCTGGGAGTAGACCTTGTGATAGGTAAGAATCCTACAGAACTAAAATGAGTAGATCCTTTAAAGGTCAGCTGATTAGGGCGCCTGGGTGGCTCAGTTGGTTAAGCGACTGCCTTCGGCTCAGGTCATGATCCTGGAGTCCTGGGGTCGAGTCCCGCGCCCGCATCGGGCTCCCTGCTCAGCAGGGAGTCTGCTTCTCCCTCCGACCCTCTTCCCTCTCGTGCTCTGTCTCTCATTCTCTCTCTCTCAAATAAATAAATAAAATCTTAAACAAAAATAAAGGTCAGCTGATTCAACCAGCCACTCCTTGTGATAATTTCCTCTATAGCCCCCACCACTTTCAAGTGATTATCCAGCCTACACTGGACCACTTACAGTAGGAGACAAGGATGTTCAGAGTTATGACAGTTTTATGAGATCGGCAGGTACATTTTTAAAGTCTTAGGAGTGGCAAATAATCAGCAAAAGAGGTTCCCAGAACAAACCACCCAGGCTTCCATCCCCAGCCTGGGATGGTGTTACCTGGCAGAATGCGCTGGCTTTCTCTGTGGTCTAGGCACTCTTGCTGCTGGTCTCCAGTGTGGACTCCTACCCTAATGGTGCCCCAAAATTCATCTGGGTGGACTTAAGAAGCAGATGTATGTGAGCCATAAACATCCCAATGGGAAACAGGATAGAGAGTAGAGGGAAAGTTTTATACTGTTTGCCTCATTGATAGAGGTTGTAATTTCCTCTAAGGTTACTTCACCAGGCCACCTCACATTGATGATGGAGTACTCACTGTCTTCTGGAATAGCCAATCTGTCTTTGGGTTGTTCTCATTAAAGAATGGTTTCGGGGCACCTGGATAGCTCAGTTGGTTAAGCGACTGACTCTTGATTTCTACTCAGGTCATGATCTTAGGGTTGTGAGATCGAGCCTCACATTGGGCTCTGCGCTGGGTGTGCAACCTGCTTAAGATTCTCTCTCTCCCTCTGCCCCTCCCCCCTGCTCTAAACAAAAAGACAAAAAAAAAATGGTTTTGTGATTTTGAGCTCAAATGTGTCTTCAGCTTTTACATATTGGTCATAGTTTGAGTTTTTGAAACCATACAAAGTTCATTTTATGTCTCCTGTAATAACATTTCAATTCCATAAACCTCCCTCAGCGCACACTGAGTCTTTTCTCTAGAATAAACATCCCCTCATCTCTTAGCCATTTTCTCAGGCCCTTAGTCTCAGCTGGCCCCAGAGTTTTTTAGAGCAGTTTGGTGGTGTGAGGATTCTGGGCTAAGACTGAGTGCTTTTTGTGCCTTCGAACACTGGGGCCACAGCATGGGGATCGACTGGGGCTGGGGAGAGGGTGCTGTCGCTGGTGTAAGCCTTAGAGGCATCTGGGTACCTTCTGGAAAACCCACAAAACCAGTGCACAAATGTCCTTCTTTGTATCACTCGACCTCAGAAGGTCTGCCCAACGCAATATTTTTTTTTAAGATTTTATTTATTTATTTGACAGAGAGAGAGACAGTGAGAGAGGGAACACAAGCAGGGGGAGTGGGAGAGGGAGAAGCAGGCTTCCTGCGGAGCAGGGAGCCCAATGCGGGGCTCCATCCCAGGACCCCGGAATCATGACCTGAGCTGAAGGCAGACACTTCATAACTGAGCCACCCAGGCGCCCTCCAACGCAATATTTTTGTCTAAGAAAAATGAAAGGCATTCTCAGTTGGCACTGCTTTGGCAACAAAGCTGTGAAGGATCTCCCCTACCAAAAATAAAGAGTTATTGTTTATTTTTTAAAAGACTTCCTTTAGGGGCGGGGACAAAAAAAAAAAAGACTTTCTTCAGTCAAAGTGAAATAAGTAATATTAGCCTGCATTCTCTTTGTTCAAAATAAAAACCTATTTGTCCAGTGATATAAACCTGTTGAATTCAAAGTTTACTGTTTTTCTAATCTTCCATATTTCCGATTGATGTGAGGTTATTTACTGCATCCACTGAGATTCAGGAATTGTGCGTTCCATCAGCAGGGGGCAATAGCCCAAATTCTGCACAATTTTTATATGTATAATTGGCTGAGCCATGTAAGTGGACTGATAAGACCTCCATAAAAGCTCACCTGCTAGAAAACAAGACCACAAGTCGAACAGGTTCAGATCAGATAATTGTGAAAAACTTATAAAACATACTAAGTTTCTTTGACCTACTGATGTTACGGAGCAGGCAGAAATGTCTGAAACACCTCCTTGTCCTCAGACATTTTAGAACTCGTATGAAGGGAGGAATATAGACCTTGAAGGAAAGTGATAAAAATAATGCTCATAACAGCAAACAGTGCTTAGTGGGTGTTGGATTGTCAGCACTCGCAGGTTTTAATTAATTTAACCCTAAAAACAGCCCTTTGAGGTAGGTACTGTTGTTTTGCTGTTTTACAGAACAGGAAACTGAGCCACCAAGTGATTAAGGGATTTGTCATTTGCTCTCATAGGTGGCAGAATGGAGTATGAGCCCACAGATTCTGTGTGCTTTTAACCCTTGCCCTGTACCACCTCCAACTGGACCCAGGCAGAAATCCAGGCTCTGCTCTTCATGTGTCTGGGCAAGCCCCTCTGAGCCTTAGCTTTCCCATCTATACAATGGGATTCCTTAGCAAACTTGATCTGGGGGGTTACCAATAATAGATACTAAGTGTCTAGCACAGTGCCTCATACATATATTGTTCAGTTTGTTTAATTATCCATGGGATATTTTTTAGGGATTTTGCAGATACCTGGAAAAGCAATTCAGTGACCTGAAGCAAAGAGGTGTTGTGATTAGCTTTGATGCTCGAGCTCATCCACCAAGTGGAGGCAACAGCAAAAGGTATTGAAAGATACGTAAGAAACCATTTTTTGTAGTGTATTTTGTGGTTTTATTTTTAATCACTTCGCGTACATTTGTCAGCCACATTGCTTACCTATAGAAATAATGAGTACATTCCGTTTGCAGCATTTCCGAATTCTGGTTTTATGTTTGGGTTTAAAAGAATGAAAGTATTCATACAAAAGAGAATTTAAGATCTGTCTAAAAGACAGACATTTTTTAAAGGGGCAACATTATTTCTCCCTCTCGCCTTCTTCCATTTGTCATTTTTTTTCTTCTCCCACTATTCATACGCCGCCTGAGCTCCTTCCCATTTCTTGAGCACCTGTTTTCAGCTGCTTTCTTGTATCATTCCCAAACCACTGGGACTCTCATGTAGCCACAGGCAGGTGGTGATGCAGATGCAGATGACAATGATGTTGATGATGATGATCCTAATAGCCGCAATTACTTGAGTGCTGGATGTGAATGAGGCCCTTAGGTATTTACTCATTCAATTCTCACAACAACCTATAAAGGGCGTACTTTTATCTCCATGCTCTAAGATTATGAAGCAGGAGAAGGAGCCACAATTTCAGCATCAAGAAGCTGACACCAGTAGTAAACATCTTACACGTTATGAGCTGTACAGTCTGTCACAACTACTCAACTCCGGCACAGAGCGTGAGCGCAGCCATATAGGTCATACATACGGAACGGGCGTGGTCGTGTTCCAATAAAGCTTTATTTACAAATGGGCTGTAGGTTGCCACCGCCCACTCTTAATCTTTTTCACCTGAACACGTCCCCTATTATGATGAATTTTTTGTCACTCCAGAGTGTATGTATTAGTAGTTTCTTAGGTTGGAAGAACATACAAATATTTAATATTAATGAAAAGTCTCATTACCTTTACAGTGCAGAATGAGGTCATAGAGTCTTTTTTTTTTTTCAAGATTTTTATTTGTTTGACAGAGACATAGAGAGTGAGCACAGATAGGCAGAGAGGCAGGCAGAGGGAGAGGGAGAAGCAGGCTCACCGTGAAGCAGGGAGCCCAACGCGGGGCTCGATCCCAGAACCCTGGGATCATAACCTGAGCCGAAGGCAGCCATTTAACTGACTGAGCCACCCAGGCGCCCCTCCTTTTTTTTTTTAAGATTTTATTTATTTACTTGAGAGAGTGTGAGAGACAGAGCATGAGCAAGGGGAAGTGGCAGAGGCAGAGGGAGATGCAGGCTCCCCACTGAGCAGGGAGCCCAATGTGGAGCTCAATCCCAGGACCCTGGGATCATGACCCAAGCCCAAGGCAGACGCCCAACCAACTGAGCCACCCAGGTGCCCTGAGTTCATAGAGTCCTAATCTTTGCCCATGAAGAGCTTCTAATCTAAGAGAGAAGCATTGATGGGAACAAATGTGCAGCTCTGAGGAAGGGAGTATGGCCAGGGCATAAGATTAGATGCTGTCAGCTCCTAGACTGAACTCAGAATGACGTAAGATTTTTGCCTTTTTTTTTTTAAGATTTTATTTATTTGTTTATTTATTTATTTATTTACTGAGAAAGTGCAAGTGGGGGGAGAAGGACAGAAAGGGAGAGAGAGAACCTCAAGCAGACTCTGTGCTGAGCCTGGAGCCCCACAAGGGGCTCGATCTCAGGACCCTAAGATCATGATCTGAGCCCAAATCAAGATTTGGATGCTCAACCAACCCAGCCATCCAGGCGCCCTGTTAAGAATTTTGCTGTTAAGCTGCAGGCTCAAAAATGTTGTTTTTGTCAACAAAGCAAGAGAGAAGCCATAGCTCTATGTTTATGAAAGAGACACAGTATAAGCCAGAATATCAGTTTGTCAGTTTTTAGTTAGTGAGCTTACAGTTAGAATTAGGTCATATGCGGGGTGCCTGGGTGGCTCAGTCAGTTAAGCATCTGCCTTCGGCTCAGGTCATGATCCCGGGGTCCTGGGATCGAGTCCTGCATGGTGCTCCCTGCTCAGTGGGGAGTCTGCTTCTCCCTCTCCCTCTGCAGCTCCCCCTGCTGTGCTCTCTCGCTCTCTGTCAAATAAATAAATAAAATCTTTAAAAAAAAAGAAAATTAAGTCATAAGCATGCTTTCCTGGCCCCAGGGTTGGGTCACTTCCTCCAGCCAGAGCATGCACAGTGCACATATGTGGCTAATTGTGGAGCTTCTGAAGTTGCTTCTTTTTAGGCTGACTCTCCTGCTTCTGGTTGATACATCCTTCAGATGTGTCCACATTGTTGATTAAGGTATGGATATTTCTTACTCTGGCCTCGGAGCTGTATCATTTCCGGAAAGTGACTGCTCTGTGAGTTTATGGCTCCAGTCTCTGGGTTTGATGGGATGGAGTGGAGCTCAGGGTCGCTCTTTCTCTATCATCTACAACATGCAAGACATTCAGAGATAGTAGCATAAATATTAAACCAGTACATGGTCAAACATTCATGGTAAGCAAATGGAATCTTATTAAAGAGTCAGAAATGATTGCAGGCACAGAATTTTATGTAGGAACTGTTTATTAGTCCTTTAATCTTCCAATTTCAAATATCTGGTGGGGAACATAAACACATAAACAGTAACTGTCAAGCATATGCAGAGAGCACATTAATTGAATCTTTCCTGTGCATATTTGTAACTTAGTTTGTATATATAATGTATACGTTGAGTGTCTCCCTTGCTTCTTTCAAGAAAGCAACTTTAAAGTCAGCCAGAACACAAGAGAAACATTTCATGAGGGTGAAAGTGACATCAGTTTGAAGTCACTTCGGTTCAAATGAATACAGTTTAGACCTACTTCAGATTTTTATTAAAATTGTTTTTGCTGAATTTTATTATTTGTATGAGTTTCCCTTATGTAGAGGCTTTTTTTTTTCACTGTCAAAATCATGTTTGTATTACTGTGGATCCTAGGAATTTTAACACTCAAGTTGTGAAAACACAAGAGATCTCTTTGTGCCCAGCCAGCTCCCAGAAAGTGTTGGCTAAAGCTGGTGCTCAAGAAATATTTGGGAAGAGAATGAATACATATCTGTTTGTTTAATCCTGTAATGGTATAATGTGGTTCATTGGAAGTAAAGTGCTCAGTTTTTGTGATAAAATATTTTACCCCAAGGCTGAAGAAAGATTTGATGCCCAGTTCTGTGTCCTGTCCTAAGAAAAATATCCGTGTCAAAGATTTAAGTCTTGTTTTAAAGGGCCGAATGGAGCCAAGATGTGTCTATGCCCTATGTATATATCACATGCACACTCACATACATATGCCAGTATACCTCATATTTCATGAGACAACATCTCGTCAGATGCTAGTCTGTGTGGCTTATATTGGGTTGTGAGAACTTTAGATGAGCATTTCTCAGCCTCTGCCCTGTTGACATGTGACATCATACTGGGCTGGATAATTCTTTGTTGGGGTCTGCTGTGTGCGTTGTAGGATGTTCGGCAGCATCCCTGGCCTCTAGCCTGCTAGTAGCACTCTACCCTACTCCCCAGTGACAGTCAAAAACATCTTGGACATTTCAGATGTCCCACAGGGGCAGAATTGTCCTTGGCTGAGAACCACCAAGATGGAATTGAAAACCTTGGGTGCAGGCCTTGCTCAGCTGCTGTGTGACTAATTGACATGGGGCAACTTGTCTGGCTTTTCTTGGCTTTAGTCCCATTTCTGTAAAACAAAGGGGTAGAGCAAGAGGACTTCTAAGATTCCTCCAACTTGAGTGTCCTATGCCAATGGAACTATGATGAATGAACCTGAAGAAGGGGTCGAGCGTTCATTTCCTTCTTCACCGTCAGCCACAGTCCTGACACCCTACTCTCCTTTCTCCCCCATCACGCTGCATTTCCAGATTTGCCCGACTAGCTGCAACCACATTTATCACTCAAGGGATTCCTGTGTACCTCTTTTCTGGTATAACCCCAACCCCCTTTGTGGTAAGTAACCCTTTCTGTTTACAATTTTCTGTCACGGGATCAGGGATGGGATATGGCTGCATTTTATGGTCTTTAAGCTTTTAGAATTGGGGTATTTATATGACGGAAGAGCCCCTTAGCATTTATCAGGCATTCTCTCACCTGTCTGGGTATGTTCTCCCCACATCCTAATAATATTTCTCTGGTGTTCAACTCGTGATGCATCAGAGTTTATTTTTTTCTCAGTGCTATTTTCCTTTTCAACATTCAAAGGATATTTTAACTAGTTAGCGAAATGTCTTTTGTTTGTTGTCTCTGTTTTCATTTGGTTTGTATTTCTTTTTCTCACTGGCACAATTAGGAAACTTCTTGGGTCTAAATCTGAATTCACCTCAAACCATGCCTCACCCTGAATATTTTTGACAGGTCGACGCACTAGCTTTTTATACACATGTTTTGTTCTAAGTACTATTCATGACCGGAACATGAAGAATGCTTGGCATATTTTAGTAAGATTTTTTCAGTCAAATTCTTCACATAGCAAAACCTAAAGAAGACAATAGGGACTATGACAGCTGTTGTTTTTAAGCATGGGGCCAGATGCTGAGAATATATGTTTTTAAGAAATTAAGCCAAAAACATGAGTAGAGTGCAGTTCCTTCCATCGGGTGAAAAGAGTGAGTCAATACAGAAGTCGGCTCTGCAGTTTGACGTTTACTGGTTCTGGTGTACTAACAGGTAGATGCAGCATCTCCCAGACTGTAAATAACCCAGTAGACATGCAATGTCACGTCCAAATGTAGCTCGGATTTCATTGTTTGATGGAAAAACTGCAATGTGTTTAAGCATCCTTGGTCTTCTGCACAATGTCAGTGTTGATTGCTATTATTTTTCTATCAGACATGAATTATATGAGTGTCGCATGACCATTTTCCCATGCTGTGGAGTGGTTCTCTCCTTTTCTTTGCTTGGGGGATATAAAATAACTCCTAAAGGGACAAATGGCCACAGAGATTCTTGGTGGGAGGCTGGAGAGGGGCAGATGGCTAGAACCTCAGGCTCCCTGTGTGTAGTAACTCTCACATGTGGCCGTAGGGAGGAGAAGCCCACCCCTCTCCCCATCTGGGGAAGTAAAGTCTTGTAAAGATGAGAGCTGAGTATTTACAAGAAAGGGATTTCTAACCTTGGAGTGGGAGATGAATGAGCAGGCTGTAGGAGCACTCCATCATTTCTTCAACATTACCCTGCCCTGTTCCCTAAAAGCAAATGGGAAAGAAGAGAAAGCAGTTGGAGGGAAGAAACAGAATCCATAAGCTTCTGTCCCAAACAGAAGGCCGAAAAGAGTGTGAGATGAAGGATTAGACCTTCTTTTTGTTTGAACAGATTGCTGGTTCTACCAAGTAGAAGACAGAATGAGAAGAAAGTACCTGGGGGAGTGCCTCGGTGGCTCAGTTGTTGAGCGTCTGCCTTCGGCTCAGGTCATGATCCCAGGATCCTGGGATCGAGTCGCACAGCAGGCTCCCTGCTCAGCGGGAAGCCTGCTTCTCCCTCTCCCACTCCCCCTGCTTGTGTTCCTTCTCTTGCTGTGTCTCTCTCTGTCAAATAAATAAATAAAATCTTTAAAAAAAAAAAAAAAGAAGGCGCCTAGGAAAATACTCAGCTGTCTTATTGGGGTGTATGTCCCACAATTTTGAGCAGTCACCTAAGGATCATACAGATATACTCGAGTGTGGCACAAAAATATGGAATGATACCTTTTTATGATGTTTCTCTATTTGTGTATTAAAAGAGAACAAGTTGATACAAACAGTATACAATACCCAGACTAAGGATATCTGATTTTTTGCTTAAAACTTGTTGTTTCTTTACAGCCCTACACGGTATTGCATTTGAAACTTTGTGCTGGAATTATGATAACTGCCTCCCACAATCCAAAGCAGGATAATGGGTACAAGGTATTCTGCTTTTTTGTTCCATACCTACGTCTTTCTGTATGCATCCTGTACCTTTACGGTGTAGGTATGGAGGCTTTATTTCCATTAACCCTAAGCCGTCTGGATATGTGCCTGCCATCTCCAGGTCTACTGGGACAACGGAGCTCAGATCACTTCTCCTCATGATAAAGGGATTTCTCAAGCTATTGAAGAAAATCTGGAGCCATGGCCTCAAGCTTGGGATGATTCTTTAATTAATGGCAGTCCACTGCTTCATGACCCGAGTGCTTCCATTAACAAGAGCTACTTCGAAGACCTTAAAAAATACTGTTTTCACAGGTAAATGGATTGTAAACTCATCTCACGTGAGTTAAAATAATGTGATTCAGCCAAAGCCTATCAGTTTTCATTCAGTTTTTCTCTCCAATTGGTACATATACTGTAGCTGCATCTGATTTTAGAGGCCGTAGGTCAGGGGTCAGCAATTTTTCTTGAAAGGACAGATAATACATAGTTTTGGCTTTGTGAGCCACTATATTACAACTGTCCAACTCCACTGTGGTGGGAGGAAGGCAGCTGTGGGAGGTACATAAATGAATGAACACAAACATAGCGAGGTTCGAAAAAAAATTTATTTACAAAAGCAGGTGGCTGGCATATCGGCCATAGTTTGCTGACCTTGGTTGTAGAATCACACACACACACACGTATGTGAGTGTGTGTTTGCATATATGTATATTTAAAAAAGCTTTGCTGAGAGGTGGCAAAAGGAAACACTGATGTTTCTTCTCTATCCAAAAATTTTTTGTGCATATGCTAGCATATTCTATGTGTAATATGTTTCAAGACCATAGATAGGAATATAACATGCATGGAGTTTGTTCCGTGCCTTTTCCCCCCAGTTAATTTGTCATGGGCACCTTCTGTGTTAGCCCCTATTAGTCCTGACTCTTTCGTTGTAATGGCTGATGTACCCATGTATGTAACCCAGGGACATAGACTCAGTATGTACAGTTAGGTAAGTGGCAGTGACCGCGTATGTAACCCAGGGACGCAGACTCAGGACATACAGTTAGGTAAGAAGCAGACAAGCCCAGTAACAGTGTTGTTCTGCTGTAACATGCTGTGGGGTCCACCACTCTTGATTGTCCCCCCAGGAAGAAACCACTGATTTTAAAGAGGCACAATTTCTCGGTTGTCTCTAATATTGTATTTGTGGGACCACGGGGAACGGAGGCTCCCTGGTAGAGCGTGGACCCCAGTTGCCTCTGGAGGGAGTGGCCATCCTTGCGGGGTGTTACCACGTGCAAATGGAGGTCCAGAGTTGCCAGAGGGTCTGATTTTTTCTCCCTGAGAGAATTGAGAAACCTACATTTTCTATGTGAAATCTCCTCATTTTTAAATATCGGGCCCATTTTGTAAACGGTGTACACACCAAACAAAACACATCTGTGCACCTTCCTTCTGTCCCTCTGATTGGATGTCACGGAGGCAAGGGTTTGGACTTGCTCGCTCCTCCACAGAGCACTGGTGGCAACACGATCGCTGCATGAGTACTTGTGTGCGTGTGCGTGCGTAGGTACGTAGGCTGCAGTTCTGGTAGCAGCATCGTGCACGCATTGACAGAGTTGGCCATGACTAATAAATTGCTCTCCAAACACGTTATACCGGTTGACGCTCCCACCAACAGAATCACAACCATATCAAACACAATGATGTCATATCTCAAGTGTATCATAACAATATGTGACCCACACATCTTACCCCTACTGAGGATTATCAAATTTCTTATTTTGCCAGATGAAAGTAATATCTTACTTTATTTGGACTCTCTAAGTATGAATAAATTATTTTTTCATATTTATTTTACCTATATTTTTCTATGTATGTATTCATTTTTTGCATTTGTGAAACCTCTTTGCTCGTATAGAAAACTAGTCTTCATTTATTTCAAATACTGTTTTCCCTTCTGTTGTTATTACCTTTGGACTTTTTTGTTGAAACTTTTTGATGAACTCATAAAAATTAGATAATGTCTATCAGTCTTTTAATTTATGAGCTCTGAGTTTTGTGTCGTACTAAGACTTTCTCTACACCAAGATTATTTTTTTAAAAAGTCCCGACTCCTTGTTTTTTTCTAGCACTTGCGTACTTAACATTTTATAATGTTTAAATCTTTTCAGTCATTAGTGATTTTTAATTCTGTGTGAGACACGAAATAGGAAAGCAGATTGGTTTGGGTTTTTTTTTTTTTAAGTTTTGCAGTTACACCAACACATTAAATTGGAGAATCTACCTTTTTTGACTAATTGGAAATATCACTTTATCAAATAATTCCCAACACAGATTGAGTGCTTATATAGATAGCTTCTATAGGCCTTTACTTTTACTGATTAATTTAATCTCATTTTAATCCTCACAGTAATGCTGAGGGCAGGTCCTGGTGTATTACCATCTTATAGATGAGAAAGTTGTGACACAGAGAGGTTGAGTAAATAACCAACAGTCACACAGCTTGTAAGTGGCAGAACTCCAGGATTTAAATTCAGAGTCTGTCTTCAAAGCATGTTAACCATGAAGCCATTACTGCTTTTCACATATATTTCCCATTTAAACTTGATCAACTTCTCTCTATTCTGTTCCTTTAATTGCCTTTTTAATCTAGTCCTAAACCATTCTAATTATGATAGCTTTATACTTCACTTTAATATCTGAGCAATTTTTTTCCAGATTTGCTCTCCCTTAGTCTTGCATATTTATTTTTCCAGATGCACGTTATTTCCTATTTTAAGAGAAGACCTTGTGCATTTATTCACTTTCAAAAGAAATGGGTTAGGTTAGGACAATAACCTAAGATTCTAGCAGTTAGAACTCTGGAATTTTTCTTTTTCTTCTTTTTTTTAAGATTTTATTTATTTGAGGGAGAGAGAGTGAGAGAGGCAGAGACCACAAGCAGAGGGGAAGGATAGAGGGAGAAGCAGACGCCACACTGAGCAGGGGGCCCGATGCGGGGCTTGATCCCAAGACTCTGGGATCATGACCTGAGCTGAAGGCAGATGCTTAACCAACTGAGCCTCCTAGGCATCCCTAGAATTTTTCTAAGTCTCATTTTTACCTTTCTATAACTTTTACTTTGGATAGTTATTGTTATTCTGTTTTAATTCCCTGACCCCGGGTAATTTGACAAACAGGATTGTTACCTGACAAAGAAAAAAATTTTATACATCTATGTTTAAGGTGTTCCATCCCATTTTGTAAAAAGAGACATTTTGAAAATCATTCTGAAGCTAGTAGAGAGTATTAGGAGCCGGGGTGCTGGCATTGCCATGGGCCAGCACCCTCGGGCAGCTGTGAGTCTCTTCTGGAACCTGAGCCCCAAGTTCTTTCTTGAGTCCCACTCAAGGTGTGAAAGCTGTCTCATGAAACAAACTCTAAAAGTCATCAGATTTACTGAAAATAACTAGAGAGTAAAATTTAAAACTTCAGTATGTTGGGGGTAGAGTATATATTTGGGAAAGAGTGGGTAAGTTTTGCTTCTTTTTTAAAATGGAATTAGAAAGACAGTCGGTTGTCTTGTACCTTCTTAATACATTGATTTCTTACTTTCTTAGGAATCTGGTTCCTTGATAAAAGAGCTTATAGTTTTGCAAGCCATACTTGCATCTTTCATCTATATTTTACCCTTTTCCATGGCATGTTTAATCCCAGGAGTGTGAACAGGGAGACGAAGTTGAAATTTGTGCACACCTCTGTCCATGGCGTGGGTCATGAGTTTGTGCAGTCGGCTTTCAAGGCTTTTGGCTTTGCTCCTCCTGAGGCAGTTCCCGAACAGAAAGATCCTGATCCTGAGTTCCCAACAGTGAAATACCCGAATCCTGAGGAGGGTAAAGGTGTCTTGGTAACCTAATCTTTTTTGTTCTGAAACTTACCTGTTATATCCAAAATTCTTACTATCAAGTAAAATAACTTTTTATGTGTTTTCATTGTGCTGAACAAATTTATATGTGTTAGTCATCCATTTCTGACAGGAACCTTCAAAATACATATCTTAGCATCAGGATGTAAGAGCTGAAATCAACATCATATTTTAAATTGAATTGAATTAAATTTAAATTGGAGTTTACTGTGCTTTCTAAATGTGAAAAGGGAACAGTAATAGAATGGATATTCATCACATGATTTTTATTCCTTAATTTTTTTATTCCTTAATTTTTATTCCTTAATTTTTCTAATATGAAGTAATGCTATTTAAATTATAGTCCTTCAACCTTTTTAAAGGTTAGGGTAGCAACCATATTCAGAGAGTCCATTTATTTTGGTTTGTTTTTGAGGTTGATCACTTGGCAAGGCCTAGAAATACCGGTCCAGCCACATACACGCTATCGGATGTGGGGTGAATCCCATGGGCAGGTGTAGGTCATGTGTTGATGTTCCCATTACCTGACCTCTGGCTTAGGAAGTAATAGGTGACCAGCCAAGACCAGCTCCAGAAAAAAAATTCTGCCTTCATTTGGGGAAAGTTCTTTTAGTTCTTAAAGAACTGAATGTTTTTAAAGACTGCAATATGCCCAATTCTTGAAGTAATCTTATATTTTCCTACTCTTTTTCAGACTTTGTCTTTTGCCTTGGCTGACAAAACCAAGGCCAAAATCGTTTTAGCAAATGATCCAGATGCTGATAGACTTGCTGTGGCAGAAAAGCAAGACAGGTACAATTGATTTTGATTACCTATCTAATAAAAAACATAACAGGGTGACATCTTCAGCAGTAAAATGTTCTTGGGGAGACTGGACCTATTTGGAACTATTTACCATTTATTATACAAATTGTCACTGAACCTCTAACATACAGCAAAATGCTGTTCTGGGGCCAGCATCATGCCGAGTAAACCAGCCCAGGATGTACTTGGAATTGAAAGTACTATTTATCTTCGCTCATTTCATCATTGATTTTATTATAATTAATGATTCAGTTCCTAATGCCAGCAAGTCCTTTGTTTGGAGTTGGCTTTACAGTGTAGTATTTGCTAAAGGGTTTGGCAAAGGAGCTGGACCTTCAAGGAAATGTTGAATTTAGGTTGAGCAGACCAGAAAGGAATAGCAGTTGGGTACCCAGTGTTTAAGACAAGTTTGACCATAGAGTTTGTCCAGAATTAATAGGACATAAGTGGAGAGAAAAGATGAAAGGCAGGCAGGGTCCAAGCAGTTTTGGGTGTCAAGCAGCACATGTGATGTTTGGGGAGTAGTGGGGTGCTGCCAAAGGGTTGGGGGTTTTATTTATTTATTTAAACTTTTTTTAGAGAGAGTGAGGGAGAGGTCATGATCTGAGCCTAAATCAAGAGTCGAAAGCTTAACCTACTGAGTTACCCAGGCGCCCCTAAGGATTAGGGTTTCAGACTATGATCAAACAGATTCAATTCTAATCACTTTCTAGAAAGTTCAGCCAGGATGATACCTGTTGAAACACGAAATGTACTTCTAGCTACGTGGACTATGGAAAAGAGAGTAAGTCCCACATCTGTTTTTTGGTGTCCTGATCATTTTAGTATGAACTTGCTCCTGAGGCATGCTAGACTGTTGCCCTCCCAGAATCCTCAATACTGACCAGACCAAAAATTGAGATACACAGACTATTATCCTGAGGTGGGATCTTGCCAGCATATTTCTATCATCTTTAAAACCAAAGCTTTTGCCAAAGACAAATAAAAGCGTTGTGTATCCTCACTTTTCAGAGATGGGAGGTTTGAGCGAACCAGTTGAGACAGAGTAGCTGCTTAGATGTTTGTGAAATGACAGTCACGTTTCCAACCAGTTCTTTAAACAAGAAAGACAAGAGCACTTGCAGAAACCACTCTGACCCTGTTTGGCTTAATTGTCCTGTCCCAGTGACTTCCAGCATCTCTCTTAAGATCACAGCAATGCACTGGTTGTTTTTTCTTTCAGTGGTGAATGGAGAGTGTTTTCAGGCAACGAGTTGGGGGCCCTCTTGGGCTGGTGGCTTTTTACTTCTTGGAAAGAAAAGAACCAAGATCACAGTGCCCTCAAAGACTTATACATGTTGTCGAGCACCGTCTCCTCCAAAATCTTGCGAGCCATTGCCTTAAAGGAGGGCTTTCACTTTGAGGTAATGTGTTTCTGGGACTTCCTCTCAAATTTCTTTGGCTCTGTACAAGTTCTAAGGCATTTCTTTCTCTTCTGGGTTACCCCTTTAGGAAACACTTACTGGCTTTAAGTGGATGGGAAACCGAGCCAAACAGCTAATAGACCAGGGGAAGAATGTCTTATTTGCATTCGAAGAAGCTATTGGTAAGAAGTGATAATGGTGATTGTAGCATTAGCTAATATATAGAGTACAAATAAATGGAATTTGCATTGGGGTTCAGAAAAGTAACAGAAGACCAGGAGTACACTGGCGCTCAAAGAGTGTTGGACCGTCCTACCCTAAAATTGGCTTCTCAGATTTTCTTTCAGCTAAAAAGAGTATCTCACAAATAACCAAGCCATTAATGTAAGAAAGTGAGTCCTTTCCCTGGATGAAAACAGTGATGTTCTGCACTTGGGTGGTTGGAGCTCAGGACCCCACATATTTTGGGGAGTGATGGTATTCCCTCAACTGCAGTGTTGATCTCCATGTCTGATATGGTTCACTCCTCTTCCAAAAGTGCTTGGCAGAAGTCTGTCCAGAGGAAAGGAGAGGACTTGGTTGTGGGGCTTTCATCAAAGTGACTGTCACCTGAAAGGACAGCCCCAAGTCCAGCCAGAATGACTGAGAAACATTTGTTTTAAATTGTCAGCATAGGTGAGGAGAAAGGAGAGCTAGGTAGAAAAACTTGAAATTCAGATGTTTGTGTGGGGGATTTTTTAGCTGTTTGTTTTGTAAAAGCTATTATATGTTATATAAGAAGACTCATCTGGGGGTGCCTGGGTGGCTCAGCGGTTAAGTGTCTGACTCTTGGTTTCAGTTCAGGTCATGAGCTCAGGGTCCTGGGATCAAGCCCCGAGTTGGGCTTCCTGCTCAGTGGGGAGTCTGCTTGAGATTCTTTCCCTCTGCGCCTCCCCCCACTCTCTGTCTCTCTGTCTCTCCCTCTCTCAAATAAATAAATTTTTTTATTTTATTTTTTTTTAAAGATTTTATTTATTTATTTGACAGAGAGAGACACAGCGAGAGAGGAAACACAAGCTGGGGGAGTGGGAGAGGGAGAAGCGGGCTCCCTGCAGGGCTTGATCCCAGGACCCGGGGACTATGACCTGAGCCAAAGGCAGACGCTTAACGACTGAGCCACCCAGGCGCCCTAAATAAATCTTTTTTTAAAAAAAGATTCATCTGTATTTCCCGCAGCACAGATGCTCCCGCATATCATTTAACTAATTAATCAAAGGAAGTGCGTAATAGCTCAGCTTTTTCCTTTTCGTTACAATTGGCAGTCTTATCTTTTTATAGCTTTTTGTTAAAATTTTTTCCTTACATTTGTTTATCAACTATTTATTGCATATCAATCACATAGTGACTCTGAGAGAAACAGATGACACTGACCTTAGCCTAGAGCAGTTTGCGTAGATCCTGTTAGTAACCACACAGAAGAGTATGGGCTAGTGTCAAGGTGAAGGACGGACTCACCAGAACTGTTGGAATTCAGAGAAGACAGAATAAGCATTGATGAGAACATCTGGAAACCATTCTGAGTGAGCGGGAGGGGTCTTGGCTGGACGTAGGGAATGAACGGTTTGTCTAGGAGGGACAGTCTCCTTATAGGTTATTCAACTAGGACATCTTGAAGGCCCGCCTTGCGCTTAGGCATTGGGCTGGATTCTTGAATATAAAGGTGGTAAATGAGAAGCATTCACATATTCATACTGTACAGCCTCTTAGGCGATGGGCAAGTTGCATGGAGATAATGTGCGTGTGTAGTGTAAAGGAGCCCATTCCTAAGGGTGTACACATGACACGTGTTTCTGCAGGATACATGTGCTGCCCTTTTGTCCTGGACAAGGACGGAGTCAGCGCCGCGGTCATCAGCGCAGAGTTGGCTAGCTTTCTAGCAACCAAGAATCTGTCTTTGTCTCAGCAGCTAAAGGCCATCTATGTTGAGTAAGTTTCTATTAACTCTGTTTAATTGAAGTAATAGTTTTCAATGTTTTATTATGTTTTTATGTGTCAGACACTAGTATTCTTTCTAACGCTCTTTGGTTGTGGATTCTTTCTTCTGAAAACTAAGGAAAGGATCCCTTTTTCTTTTGATGCTTAGCCGTTGGTTACTAATTATCATTCATGACTGCATTAATCCCTAACAAATGAGAACATCAGTTGCAGAAATAGCTATTTGAAGAAGGTGATTTTAAGTGTCTGATGGCGGAAAAGATCAAAGGTGTTCATGAGCTATCTGTTGAGTTTTTAGAGGCATTAGTCAAGACCGCCTTTATAGTGAGAACCAGCCAGGGGCAGTATGTACGGGAATGGGTGGGGTGTGGCTGCCGTGCAATGAAACTTTTACCCCCAGATACAGGCCGAAGGCTGGGCAGCAGTTTGGCAATCCCTGGGGTCAATCGTTGTACCTTTTTTTTTATGCTGAATTATTCGTTTGTAGCTAGTCATGGTTACTTTTGTTTCATTTAGTTTAAAACTGGTTGATACATGTTCTGTGTATGTTCTGTGTCCATCCCGTGGGATTATTTGTTCCTTATTTTGCATATTTGTATTTTTTCTACTGAGATGTAATTGACATTAGTTTTAGGTATTCAACGCAATGATTCAATATTTGTATATATTACAAATCGATCATTGCAGTAAGTCGAGTTAACATCCATACCACACATAATTACAAATATTTCTTCTTGTGATGAGAACTTTTAAGATCTATGCACTTAGCAACTTGCAAATATATAGTACGATATTATTACAAAATCCCCATGCTGTATATTACTTAATTATTTATATTTGTTTTGATAGATATGGTTACCATATTACCAAAGCTTCATATTTTATCTGCCATGATCAAGGCACCATTAAGAAATTATTTGAAAACCTTAGAAACTTCGATGGGAAGAATAATTATCCAAAAACTTGTGGCAGATTTGAAATTTCTGGCATTAGGGATCTTACAACTGGCTATGACGATAGCCAACCTGATAAAAAAGCTGTAAGTAATACTATCTTTTATCAACTAAACTCTTCTGTATTTACCTTCTATTGTACTTTGAATAGCTTAACTTATTTAATCATGGAATTAATTGAAGCTGATTTTAGGCATCCAGCATTACTATAAATATGCTATCAAAATAAACAAAGTTAAAAATCATGGGCTAGAACTACAAGGATCGTCACTAGTCATCTAAACCAATGTCACCATGTAACACACAGGAAATCAACACTCAGAAGTGTAGGACCTGCCTGTGGTTGTGCAGCTAGTTGGTGATGGTTGTGGTCACCTCTGGGTCTTCTGCCTACAGATCCGGGTTTTCTTCTGTCTGGGTACCTGCTCAATACATCAGCTATGGCAGCCTGCCATGGTGTTTCCTGAATGAGTAGATCTGGGGTGGGGGCCAAAATCTGCATTTGTATCAAGATCCCTGCTGATGCTGATGTTACTGGTACACACTTTGAGAAACACTGTTTGCTTCCTAGTTCGTTTTACTCTATTCCCTGAATGTCCAGGCACTGTTAGCTATAAAGCGTGAGTTTGCATTCTTCACATCACGTGGATCCTCCACTGGAGTCAAAAGAAGGCTCAAATAGGGCAGAAGAGTATTGCTAACTAATGGCAGGGCGTTGGGGAAGAAGAGTGAGACTATTCTTATGAGATATTAGACATCCTTGATATTTCCTTTTTATTTTCTTTTTGTAAAATTTTGTCTGCACACAATATATTTTTAAAGAGAAATATTTTTGAAAGCGTCACGATGAAATATGGCAGCCCAACCCCCACCATCTCTTTGCCATGTCAAGACAACCCCCTTCCCTCTGAGTTGTCTCGCCTGGCATTTTACCACCAAATTGCAAATAACCTGCTCATGTGGTGTTGCTTGGGCTTCTCAGTGTTGGACTTTATTACTTTTCTATTATGAAGATAAGGGTTGAAATCTGACATTTCTTCTGTTCACTATCCCCCCTTCTCCCCCTGTCTTCACAAACACCTCTGCCACAATGCTTGGTGAATTTAGATCCTGTGCTTGCATTATTAGGACTAGTAACTATTGTTTCCCACTTAGCTAAGTAGTGTACTTTGATTAGGTTCCCCCAAATTGTATAATTATCTTTTCTATAATTAACGGTTGTTCTGTTCTTTCATTTTCTTGGATTTTTATGTAACGATCTCCAGTCTTCCCACATTCCTTCGGATGCCTCTCAGTAGGGTTTTCCACATGGTCCAATGCAATTTTATCTGTTCTCTTTTGTTTCCACTGGCCTCCCTTCTGGTCCCCCATCCAGGCAGGGCCAGCTCCTCTGTGTGTTGGGTGCACACATGTCATCCTGGGAACGCCCCTCACCACTTATGGGGTGCATCCTTGGCTCCTGGACCCAATGACTTCCTCTTACTATATTTCCTAAATCACCTCCTCTAGTAGCTTCCTAAAAAAAAGTGAATAGGAGGTCAATTTTTGGAGGCATTTAAGTCTGAAAATGTCTCACTCTACACTCACACTTGATTGACTTGCAGTTTTGAAAGCAATGCTCCATTATTGCTTAGTTTCCAGGACTGCTGTTGAGGGTCTGATATTTCATTCTCTCGGGAACTAGCTGAGGCCTACTGTGTGCCACATAAAGGGATGTTGATGCCACTTATTCAGTCCTTTCCATGCAGCTTGTTTTTTTCTCTACGGGAAGATTTCAGGAATTTTCTGCTAAACTTTTCTTCTAAAATTTTAGTGATGTGCTTTGATATGGGTCTTTTTCAGGTTCTCCCAACTAGCAAAAGCAGCCAAATGATCACCTTTACCTTTGCTAACGGGGGCGTGGCCACCATGCGGACCAGTGGGACCGAGCCCAAAATCAAGTACTATTCAGAACTGTGTGCCCCCCCTGGAAATAGGTACGATACAGATGGTAGCACCTGTGATGATTATTCCCTAAAATTCCTAATCGGTTCTGTGCAAATGCCAAGTAAAACATTTTGTCTTTCCAGTATGTACTTTAATTAGGAATGTTATTTCAGAACCTACAGCAATTTTATGACATTAACAGCTGTTTGAAGCATCCAGGGACAGGAGAGCTGATTTCTACGTACTTCTTTCTGTCCCACCTCTCTTTGTAGGGAAAAATTTCATTCTGAATTTCAGTAATAGTAACACAGTTTCCTTTTTCTAGTACCTTTATTTGAGACTAACACCAATGAGTTCTCCTTTCCAGAGTCACCTGTCTCTGATACAATAAATTAAAATCCATTGCACATGCACTGAACAGATATCTTTGAGCACCTATTGTGCATAGGTCTGTGCTGGGTTCTGGAGAGGAGAAAGTGCCGTAGCAGAGAGGGTCCTTGCCACCAAAGAGCTGATGGTTTGGTAGCTTCAGGGTCGTGTTGTTGTGACCTTGGTAAAGGGTTTGAGTTCACTTTGCAGTACTATAACATCTTAAACTTTATTTTTATATATATTTTAAAGATTTTATTTATTCATTTGAGAGAGAGACAGCACAAGCAGGGGGAGAGGCAGAGGGAGGGAGAGGGAGATGCAGACTCCCCGCTGAGCTGGGAGCCCAACATGGGGCTCCATCACAGGACCCTGAGATCATGACCTGAGCCAAAGGCAGACACTTAACTGACTGAGCCACCCAGGCATCCTGTCAGTTGACTACGTTTCGGTAGGGTTTCTGGTCAACAGAAGGATATTAATAGCTAACTTTTTGGGAGTCAAGAGTTATACATAGATTTTTGACTGCATAAGGGGTTGCTAACTCCCGAACCCCCATGCTGTCGAAAGGTCAAATGTATTACCATTTCATAAAATTTACAGTTGAAAAAGTAGATTTTGATACCCAAATTGTTGAAACATACTTAAATTTTCCAATAACAGTGAAATGTCAGTTCTTAATTTTGAATTTCAATTAATTAAGCTTAAATGACATTAACAGCTCAGTTCCTGGGTCCAGTCGCACTAACCACATTTCCAGCATTCAATACCGTAGTGGGCAAGATGGGTCTAAGCAGTTGTTAGGACATTTACACATCAAAGCTTTGCGTTGAAGAGTAGTTTTGGTCTTGGGAATCAAACTTGCATTATGTGGAAATAAAAGCAGAGGAAATTTTCTGAGCATCTTCTATTGGCCAGCCAGTAGCATATTAAATGTAGCAAATTAGAGAGGCTGGGACAGATTGTGAGGGTTAGACATTCCTTGGGCAGGAAGAAAGGACTGCTGATAGCAAGGGAAAAAATACTAAAAACAAAACAAGGAAACATGGACACAGGAACTCAGAATGTTCACTGCTTTATCGTAAGGGAGATAGAGTACCACATCCACATAGGCCCTGATACTTCTTCTGAATAAGAGCTCCAGTCCAACAGTCAAAGTCATGTTTATGGCTTTTAAATATCACAACAGTCAAATATATCTAAGAAGCCATAGACTGTGTCCTATATTTTGCTACAGAGTCCCATTCAAAATCTTTTTGTGCTGCAAGGGCAAAAACTCAGCTGGTAAGCAACTTGAACAAACACATAAAACAGCTCATTTTCTAAGCATTCTGGATTACCAAGATTTTATTGTAATATTTGCAAGTATCAGTGTTTCTATGTGTGTTACATATTAAGCTATTTGCTACTCTTGAGAATGGGGTTTTCCATAGACGTTTCTTTGTAATTCATTCTCACTTAATGTTTTCATATATCCCTCTTTCTTTTGAAAACAAAGGAGCGGGGCACCTGGGAGGCTCAGTTGAGCGTCTGCCTTCGGCTCAGGTCATGATCCCAGGGTCCTGGGATCAAGCCCTGCATCGGGCTCCCTGCTCAGCGGGAAGCCTGCTTCTCCCTCTCCCACTCCCCCGCTTGTGTTCCTGCTCTGGCTAACTCTCTCTCTCTGTCAAATAAATAAATAAAATCTTTAAAAAAAAAAAAAAGAAAACAAAGGAACAATAGTCCAACTTAAAGATCCATTTTCTCTCTATATTTGTCCCTTCCTTGTCATTACTCTGTGAAAATATAATAATTCAGAAACTTTATAATAACAATACAATTTAATGTTTGAGGATCTGGTATTTTATAGTAGTCACATGGATTATTGGGTGGCTTTAACTTCAAATATTAGCTTATAAATTCCTGAAAATATTTTGAAAAATTGTCCTTTTATTATATTCATCAAAATGCTGCTCCAATTTATTAATTGGGACATTGGGCACTAGGCCAGTCCACAGATATGCTGTCAGGTCACCAGCATACCTAACATAAAACAGCAATAAAGCCACGGCTAAGTTTCCTTATTTTCTGCTCACTTTAATATTAGTATATTTTATATCATCAATTTCATTTTTTCATAGAATTCCATGACCCACTTATCCTTTAGAATGGAAAATCCTTTTCAAATTTAAGTCCTGCTTTTATTTTTTATTTTTTTTTAAAGATTTTATTTATTTATTTGAGAGAGAGAGTGAGAGAGAGAGAGAGCACATGAGAAGGGGGAGGGTCAGAGGGAGAAGCAGATTCCCTGCTGAGCAGGGAGCCCGATGCGGGACTCGATCCAGGGACTCCAGGATTATGACCTGAGCCAAAGGCAGCCGCTTAGCCAACTGAGCCACCCAGGCGCCCTAAGTCCTGCTTTTAAAAAGATGGGAATCAAATCAGTAGATGTCTTTTGTCCAACTTTGTATTTTAGAAAATTTCAATGAATACCCACATACCCTTCACTTAGACCAAGGATTGGCGAACTTTTTTTTTTTTAAAGATTTTATTTATTTTTTTGACAGAACTTTTTCTGTAAAGAGCCAGATAGTAAACATTTTAGAATTTGCAAGCCATATGGTCACACTACTCCCCTCTGCTGTTGCTCAAAAGCAGAAAGAAATCGTATACATAAAGGAATAGGTGTGACTATATTCCAGTAAATCTTTATTTACAAAAATGGGCTGTCAGCAAGCTGCCAGCCATAGTTAGCCCACTCTAACCTAGACTCAGCAATTGCTACCATTTGCAATATTTGCTCACCATGTATTGTATATGCAGGTTTGATTTTGTTTGTTTTTTTCCCTGAGCCATCTGAAAATAAGTTGCAAACCTCAATACACAATTCCCAAGAACAAGGACACTCTGTTACTATCTCAGGGTTTAGATACCAATTATTATCAATCAAGGTTCTAACAAACAAAACCAGTAGGAGATATATATGTTTATATGTTTATATTTGTATATTCACTGGTGAGTTTAATTTTAGGCATATTGTTAAAAAAAAACAAACAGTAAGTATTAAGTATGTGCCTTCCTGAGAAGTATTGTCTTCAAAACACATTTATGGAAAAGGAAATAACGACCCATGTGATTCATATGTATTTATGAAGCATACTTTATATGTCACCAGTGGGGGTAAACATAATTTTAATGATAGCTACATTTATTGAGGTTTTGGGGCCAGGTTCTGTGCTAATTGCTTTATATAATTTATCTCAATCTACACAGCAACTCTCTTGAGAAAATAAAGTCTTTATCCCAATTTTACAAATGAGAAATCTGGGCCTTGGAGAGGCGAAGCCACTTACCCGAGGGCCTAGGGCTGGTAGGAGAGCCAGAATTAATGCCTGCAATAAAATGGATTGTTTTAGTTGTACTGGGGAACGATTACAATGTAAAAATGATCTTAACACATTACAAGAATTTCGTTTTTCATTAAAATAAAGTTACATATATTGAAGACAGTCAATATGAAGTCATGCAAGTTGGAACTGGAGGATTTAGCTTTTTAAATTCAGCTTTTTGGTTTCAAGTACTTAAGAGTAAACACCCAGCGCTAGTAACCTGATGCTAACATGAGCTGCTAGAAGCCTGTCTAAACACAAATTCGTTTTATCTTTTCCTACCTTCCAGTTGTTTGCATTTAAATGAATGTTTTTCATATGCTTGAAAATTTGATTTCCTTAGAGGAAACTAGCTCCCTAGATTGTTGTGTATACTTGAGTCATGACCCTTTTGTTCTGGAGTTAGAATAAAAAAGATAAAAAAAATGGGGGGGGGGACTCAGTTCCTGGTGTGTGATTAGCAGGCCCACTAGGAGGCTCCCATTCTCTGTACCTTCTAGGAAGGCCTTGCAGACCGGCTGCTGTTTAGCTTCCAGTAGTTTGGGATCAGGAACATTCCTGTCCTGGGAGATCAAGAACTTAACAGAGATGTCATTTGTAAAAGTTTAGCAGGATCGAATGACAACTGAAGTCATCAAAGTTTTCTTTGCTCTTTTAGGTACAAACATTGCAGATCTTTTAGGGGATGCTAGAGCAGAAAACTGTTTCTTAAAAATTATTTGTTGGGCGCCTGGGTGGCTCAGTTGGTTAAGCGACTGCCTTCGGCTCAGGTCATGATCCTTGAGTCCCGGGATCGAGTCCCACATCGGGCTCCCTGCTCGGCAGGGAGTCTGCTTCTCCCTCTGACCCTCTTCCCTCTCGTGCTCTCTATCTCTCATTCTCTCTCAAATAAATAAATAAAATCTTTAAAAAAAAATTCTTATTTGTTTAGCTCGGCATCAGGGAAATCCAAATCAAAACCTCAATGAGATACCCCCTCACACCAGTCAGAATGGCTAAAATTGACAAGTCAGGAAACAACAGATGTTGGGGATGCAGAGAAAGGGGAACCCTCCTACACTGTTGGTGGGAATGCAAGCTGGTGCAGCCACTCTGGAAAACAGTCTGGAGGTTCCTCAAAAAGTTGAAAATAGAGCTACCATATGATCTAGCAATTGCACTACTGGGTATTTACCCCAAAGATACAAATGTAGGCATCCGAAGGGGTACGTGCACCCTGATGTTTATAGCAGCAATGTCCACAATAGCCAAACTGTGGAAAGAGCCAAGATGTCCATCGACAGATGAATGGATAAAGAAGATGTGGTATATATATACAATGGAATATTATGCAGCCATCAAAAGGAATGAAATCTTGCCATTTTCAACGACGTGGATGGAACTGGAGGGTATTATGCTGAGCAAAATAAGTCAATCAGAGAAAGACATGTATCATATGACCTCACTGATATGAGGAATTCTTAATCTCAGGAAACAAACTGAGGGTTGCTGGAGTGGCAGGGGGTGGGAGGGATGGGGTGGCTGGGTGATAGACATTGGGGAGGGTATGTGCTATGGTGAGCGCTGTGAATTGTGTAAGACTGCTGAATCACAGATCTGTACCTCTGAAACAAATAATACATTATATTAAAAAAAAAGAAGAAGATAGCAGGAGGGGAAGAATGAAGGGGGGGGAAATCGGAGGGGGAGACAAACCATGAGAGACTATGGACTCTGAGAAACAAACTGAGGGTTCTAGAGGGGAGGGGGGTGGGGGGATGGGTTAGCCTGGTGATGGGTATTAAAGAGGGCATGTTCTGCATGGAGCACTGGGTGTTATACACAAACAATGAATCATGGAACACTACATCAAAAACTAATGATGTAATGTATGGTGATTAACATAACATAATAATAAAAAAAATTCTTATTTGTTTATAGTAGAGACCCTAGTAAAACCTTGGGCGAAAGAATGGATATTGTCTCATGGGGTTTTTTTTGTCCAAGTCAACAGATGCGTTCCCATGCTTCAGTCACTGAGGTTCTGTTTTGTCTGATTTAACCCTCCTCTTAAGGGTACATTTCAATGTTATTTGACCAATGTGGGGAGAACTTCAAATATGCTTTGGAATAATCCACTGATCTGGAATTTTCCCCCTTATTTTCCAGTGATCCCGAGCAGCTGAAGAAGGAACTAAATGAACTAGTCAGTGCTATTGAAGAACATTTTTTCCAGCCACAAAAGTACAACCTGCAACCAAAGGCAGAGTAAAATATTCCAGCCTTGGGCATAATTACAATTGAGCAGTGTTTTTGAGGACCAAATGACTTAAACAATCACTACAAGTATTTATATATTTTTAATAGGCCTACATTTCTTATTCTATTTTTGACCTTTAAGATGAATAAAGAAAAGATGGCCAAACCAAACAAACCAACATTCCTATTAGATGGTTGAGCCTGGGCATTATCTGAATTCAAAAATGAAGATTTTAAAAATGCTTTAATTAGAATAAATAACAAATGTGTCTCCTCTATAATTCTTTTTATGCATAATTGAAATCGCCAGAAAGCCTATACAGTTCCTAAATTCTGGGCTGTCATGTTATAGGATAGCCACTTTTTAGGTATATGTATGTTTACATTTCTATCAGTTGTTTATAAGGCAAAATATATAAACAAATCAAATGCCGTGTTCATGTTTAGGGAACCTAAAGTGGAGGAATTTACAAGAATCTATAAAGTGGCCCAAAAGATACTTTAAAAAGATACATTTTTTGACCTAAAACTTTTTAGTTCTAATAATACATCATTATACATTGTATATGTGCTAGGAAAAAACAGCCTAACCATCTTTGTTCAATGCATTAACATTTATCTTTTTAAAGCTTGAATTAAAAAATTGGCTATTTGAAACTGCAAAGTACTTTATTGTACAGTTGTTTGCTTTGGTAACAAGTTCATGTAATCTTTGGAACAGAGGCAGCAAGGACTCTAAACATTAACTATATACCTGATTTGGGTTTTTTGCCTTGTTCATATGTGATTATAATCTAAAACCATTAGGTTGGGACACCTGGGTCGCTCAGTTGTTTGGGCGTCTGCCTTCGGCTCAGGTCGTGATCCCAGGGTCCTGGGATCAAGTCCTGCATTGGGCTCCTTGCTCAGCGGGAAGCCTGTTTCTCCCTCTCCTTCTGCTGCTCCCTCTGCTTGTGTTCCCTCTCTCTCTCTCTGACAAATAAATAAATAAAATCTTTAAAATAAAATAAAGTAAAACCATTAGATTTCCTTTTCCAGATTTGTATTTAACCTGTACCTCCTCACCTCCTCATAACCAGTGGCCTTAAAACCATCCAAAATGACTCCATTTGAGTACCCATGAGTTAGGACCACACTGTTCTTTGTGTACTTTATGCCTTTTATGTGGTTTTTCTATGTTTCAAGCAAATGATTGCCTGTTGTTACTATTATTAACCTAGATGGTTACTAGCAGTTTCAGAACAATGAAAAATTACAATCTCATTGGCAATCATTTTTCTAAAGTAAAGGGAAAAAGTGTTTTTATATCTTAGTGATACATAGCTTGTGCCCTTTAGAGAATCTTCCAAAGTGTTACGCTTTTTTTTTTTTAAGATTTTATTTATTTGAGAGAGAGGGAGAGTGAGAGCGAGCACAAGAGTGGGGGTGGGCAGAGGGAGAAGCAGGCTACCCTCTGAGCAGGGAGCCCAACTGGGTACTTGATACCAGGACACTGGGATCATGACCTGAGCCGAAGGCAGATGCTTAACCGACTGAGCCACCCAGGTGCCTCCCTTTCAGAGAACTTAAATCTATAATATTCAATATATTCTGTCAGCTGCTTCATTGGAGAAGCTGTATGTATTTTTGTTTTATGATGTTTTCTAGTCTCAAAGTGTACTCTAGAAATAAGAAATGTCAGATCTGTATCCTCTCTGTAGATTTTGGAGCATATAAACTATGCCCCAGTTTGTTACTGGAAATACAAAGGTGGTGGTGATCCACCATGCTGTGATGATGCTCACAGTCTAATTGGAGGACTAGTGAGTAACTGGAATGCTTACAAATTCTCTAATGGAGTTATCTGCAAAGTACTGAGGTTCAGAAGTATGAGAGAGGGATCCATCCTACCCAGAGAAAACCTCACGGAAGAGAGATGAATGACTGCTTCGCCTTTGGGGGTGAGTAGCAGCTGAAGATGAAGGAGAAGGGCTCCCAAGCATAGAGCATAACACCAACTAAAGTATAGAGGTACTGGGGGATGTGTGTGGTTTTTTTTTTTTTGGAGGGGGGCTGCTAAAAACATACCCCAGATATAAACTATAGGACATACCGGCACTTTTCTGCCATTCATGTGAGCAGGTGATTCAGTTGGACCTGGAGGAGATCCCCTAACTCTATTTATCACTTGTAGTTCTAAGAAATAGCACACCACGTATGCTCACTGAATATTTTTTTGCGTGTTTTTATGGGATGGCAGGTAGCAGTGTGTGGTGCATAAAGCTTGCAACGTAAGACCCCTGGGTTCTAATCATGGTCTGCTGTGAACCATCTTTGTGACCTTGGTCAAGTCACTTAACTTCTCAAAGTCTCAATTTTGTTATTCTTTTAAAAGACTTCTTTTTTTTTAAGAGCAGTTCTAGGCTCACAGCAAAAATGAGAGGAAGGTATAGAAATATCCTATATCCTCCCTGCTCCCCCACAGTAGTAGCCTCTCCCATGATCAACATCCCTACCAGAAGGGGTACCTTTGTTATAATGGATGAACCTACATTGACATATTATCACCCAAGCTGTGGAGACAAAAGATCATTGTTTGCCAAGGATTGGGGGGGGGGGGGGGGGGGGGGGGGGAGCGGCGCAGGGCAGAGAGCTGTGAATAGGTGGAGCACAGAGGATTTTTAGGAAAGTGAAAATACTCTATAGGATTCTATAATGGTGAATACATGTCAGTATACATTTGTCTAAATCCATAGAATGTACAACACCAAGAGTGACCCCTCATGTAGACCATGAGCTTTGGGTGATAATTTTGTCAGTTTTTAAATTGAAAGATTTTGCTAAATGATCTCTGAGGTCATTTCATTCTTATGTGGAAAATACATAAAGGACATTATCAGCAACAATAAATCACTGGCGATTCTCTTTGGCAGAATGCTTAACTAGTCCTATCACAAGACCTAACATTGGAGATCAGGGGAAAAACACTTGGTACCGAAGAGGGGGTAGGCAGCCTGGTGTTCGTATCTGGCCTGTCCTTGCAGCCTGAAGTGTGTGAGCTGAAACCAGGGACAAGCAAGGTGGAACCACATGGTCCGCAGTACTGGGAAATATTTTGCAGGGGAGTAAGGGGATGATCAGGACTGAGCACCCACAACCACGCCCTCTGTTTCTAAGAGCTACCCCTGCTTGGGGAAGGTGGTCCTACTTGCGTGGAGAGCTGGAACCGTTTTCTTTTGATGTTCCAAAAGAACAGATCCCTTTTAGTCTGAAAGACTGCCTTGCAGGAGAAAATGCAGGCCAACTTTGTGTTTTCTTTGTGGTCTATGAAATAACAGCTGTTACTCTTTAAGAAAAAATGGGAGTACCTTTAGTTTATCTCATCAGTGTACCTCAATCATCATGCTATCATGGGAAAGTGTTCTTATTTCATGACATTGGAAACTCTTGGCTTTAAAAATAACTGCTTTGGGCACCCGGCTGGCTCAATCAGAAAAGCAGGTGACTCTTGATCTTGAGGTCTTGGGTTCAAGCCCCACGTTGGGTGTAGAGATTACTAAAAAATAATAATAAATGAACCTTAAAAAAATAAAAATAAATGCTTTAAGTGATGGAACAAACACATATGTCCTACTTTGGAGGGATTTTGAAAGGATGGCATCTAAATCATATTTATAATTTCTTCATTCTAAAAGACCAAATCCAGGGCGCCTGGGTGGCTCAGTCAGTAAGTGTCTGCCTTTGACTTGGGTTATGATCCCAGGGTCCTGGGATCAAGTCCCACATGGGGTTCCCTGCTCAGCGGAGAGCCTGCTTCTCCCTCTCCCACTCCCCCTGCTTGTGTTCCCTCTCTCGCTGTGTCTCTGTCAAATAAATAAATAAAATCTTAAAAAAAAAAGACCAAGTCCTATTTGTGCATTCATTCGTATGTTCACTGAATCCTGTTGGAATCCTGCTACGAGCCAGCCACTTCTCTAGATGCTGGTAATAACCTGCTGTCCTGCTCTCTCAGAGTCAGCCTAGCAGGGGAAATACACACACACAGCGCACAGTGGTACAAGTGGTCCTGCTATCCTGGACTGCCCCAACTGTGGGCAAGCACACATTGTTCCAAATGTGATGCCCCCTTTTGGACTCATCTTTTTCAAGATGACCAAATTCAAATCCCTAACATTTTTTTTTAAGATTTTATTTATTTTTGATGTGGGGGAGCATGAGCGGGGGGGGGGGTTGCGGGGGCAGAGGGAGAAGCAGACTCCCTGCCGAGCAGGGAGCCCGATGTGGGACTTGATCCCAGGACCCTGAGATCATGACCTGAGCTGAAATCAAGAGTCAGCCGCTCAACCGACTGAGCCACCCAGGCGCCCAAATCCCTAACATTTTTGTTCAAAACAATTTGACTCTGGGAGGCTCTCTGCAGGTCCTTTCTGTGCATTGTCCCTTCGTTCCGTCCTTGCTCCAAGCAGATTTGTGTAGAACAACCACTGAAAGCAAGATGTCACACTCCAAGGCAGGGGACAGAAAGTGGAAGATACCATCACTCCCCTTGACTTCTCCACGTAAGCAGAGTGCAGTAACTACTGGGATTCACTGGAGGAAAAAGGCAGCTAGCTGTCTGGAGAGCTGAGAGCCTCTGGCTGCCCCGCCAGCACGAGTGCGTGGGCACCAGGATGGAGAGCAGTGTTGGGGGGCCAGGTTCCTTTCTCCCTGGCTCCCCTCTGTCAGTCCTTGAAAATACACAGGGAATAACAGAGCTGTTTCTCTGTCTCTTCCCGTTCGGGTCCAGTTAAAGCAGCATCAGTGTTTGGTACAGAAGGCAGTTGGGCACTCGGACCAAAGAGCCAGTTCCAGGTCTAAGTAGCTCTTGAAACCATTTCAAAATAGCACTGTGAAACTGCTAGAAGGAAGTTGGGGTTGCAGTTTAGAGATGATGAGCCTGATTGAGTCCTTAAAATACATTGTTCGGAATTATTTGATTGTAACGGGAAAAAAAAACTATTTTAAGGGATGCCTGGGTGGCTCAGTCCGTTAAGCGTCTGCCTTCAGCTCGGGTCATGATCCCAGGGTCCTGGAACTGAGTCCCGCTTTGGGCTCCCTGCTCAGCGGGGAGTCTGCTTTTCCCGCTGCCTGCCACTCCCCCTGCTTGTGCTCGCTGTCAGATAAATAAAATCTTTAAAAAAAAAGTTTTTTTTTTT